CTGCAAGGAGCCCAAGAGGGAGCGGGAGCAGTGCTGCTACAACTGTGGCAAGCCCGGCCACCTGGCCCGTGACTGCGACCACGCGGACGAGCAGAAGTGCTATTCCTGTGGGGAGTTCGGGCACATTCAGAAAGACTGCACCAAAGTGAAATGCTACAGGTAAGGCTGCCAGACACAGCTGCAGTGCACCTGCCGTGAGAAATGCATTCTGGGGCTGAAATGTGGCCTCAGCTCTGGCCAAGGAGTGAGTTCCTTAGAACAGTTACCTGTTGTTGCTCAGAACTAGGACTTTCACACCTGTTAGCAAAGAGGAGTACAGATTCCATGATGCACATCTCTGCACAGCCACACAGCGCAGTGTTAAATCTCTTGGGCTGTACAGGAGAAAGGGTCCTGTCCTTTTGCAGAAGGTAACAGGAGATGCTTGCCCACAGCACAAACTTGCTGAGGTTGGGTCCCCAGTATGTCATCCCAGAGCTAACAAAGCTCAGCTGTAAAGATCAGCTGACTGGCACAGCCAGCCCCAGGACGAACACACTAAGTTGTCTTGGTTTTATAGAGAAACATGGATAGAAGTGGGTGTTAAATTGGTTTGAAATGCCATCTTCAGAGTGCTGTCTGGGTTTTGAATGCAGGCATACACCAGAGACAGCACGTTCCTGAGTGCAGTATTCTTCACCCCCACCAACATTCCCTTCTGTGGAGGAAGGAGAGAGAGAGAACATGGTGTATTTGAGTTTGACTAATGACTCTCAAAACAAAGCTAAACTGCAGGCAGGAGCGTTGCGAGCAGGCAAAACCCAGCCCACAGTTAAAAAAACAAGGGGGGGGAACCAAACCACCCAAAGCCTTCTGTATTTGACATACAGTGATTTTGTCATATCCAGTGATTAGTGTGAGCTGACCATTTGGGAGCAGTTCTGGCTGTGGTTAAGACAAACTTCCTTCGTGTCAAAGAATTCTGGAACACAGGACCAGAAGTCTTGACTGCAGAAGTAGTGTTGTGTGAAAGTGAAGCAGATCATGTACCTGACAGGGTGGGGTTGCTCCTGTGAGGAGCTGCTGGGGGTGGCTCTGATGAACTGTTTCTGTTGCAGGTGTGGTGAAACTGGCCATGTAGCCATCAACTGCAGCAAGACCAGCGAAGTCAACTGCTACCGCTGCGGCGAGTCAGGGCACCTTGCACGGGAATGCACAATTGAAGCTACAGCCTAATTATTTTCCTTTGTCGCCCCTCCTTTTTCTGATTGATGGTTGTATTATTTTTCTCTGAATCCTCTTCACTGGCCAAAGGTTGGCAGATAGAGGCTACTCCCAGGCCAGTGAGCTTTACTTGCCGTGTAAAAGGAGGAAAGGGGTGGAAAAATCAACTTTCTGCATTTAACTACAAAAATGTTTATGTTTAGTTTGGTAGAGGTGTTATGTATAATGCTTTGTTAAAGAACCCCCTTTCCGTGCCACTGGTGAATAGGGATTGATGAGTGGGAAGAGTTGAGTCAGACCAGCAAAAACCCTCTCTGGGTTACAGGGAAGTGATCCTATGCAGGAGGAAAGAAATTCTGGAAGTGTCTAAACTTCCTCATAACTTTTATTTTATTACAATGGCCTTGGATTGTCTGACCTCAGTAGCTGTTAACACCAAGTGATATCTGCATCAGGCCCTACCTAGAGCATATAGCTGAGTGGGAGTAAACAAACAAGATGCACATGCCTGTTAATGGCCATGAGAGAGAGAGAGAAATCTGAAATCAATCTTAAAAGTAACAGTAATTCAGTCAGTGAATGTTCATGTTGGAGATACAGAACGTAATGGGAAGCTTTTGAATAAATATCTCAAAGTCAATCTGAAACCCAGACATCAGTGCTCATAGCATATACAATTTGGAGTTATTCAGGAGTTGCAAATAAATGCATTTTCACAGAAATCAAGATGTTATTTTTGTATACTATATCACTTAGACAACTGAGTTTCATTTGCTTGTAATCAGTTTTTAAAGTAAGATGGTAAGAGCAATTGAAGTCCTAGAACATAGAAAATGTAATTTTAAACTATCAATAAAGCTGGAGGAGGAAGGGGAGTTTGGCTAAAGTTCCTTTTGTTTATTTTTGGTTTTCCTGTACACAGTGCAAAATAACATATTAAAAAGGGGTATGTGGAGGTTCAGTTTGGACTTTTCTTTTGTACTGTCTTATGTTCAGTTCCCATCCAGCTGGAAATGCGTTGTGTCTGCAGATGGCCATGGGAATGAGCTGTGGGGTCTGGGAGGTGGGGCCTGGAGTGGTTCAGTTCTTTTGGCAGGACCTGAGCCCTCACTGCTGTCACTGCACTAAGAACTGTCGCTTAAAGCCTCTGCACGGGCCATGTCCATGTGTGGTTGTGCTGTGCTGGTTGACTGAGGGTCAGTGAACAGTTCCACAGATGAAAAGGGAGCTGACTCACTGTACTTTCACATCCCCTCACTACGGGAATAAAGCCTGGATGTGCAGGAGTTGTTGGCCCATCGGTGCTTCACCGTAAGGCAGGACTGGAGAAGGGCTGTCCAACACATGCTGTGAAGATCTGGCTTGGAAGTGCCTCTGAGCCACTGTCTGTCCTCGAGCTCTGGCAGATCCTATGGGATCTGTGCAGTTAGGATCAGGGAGAGTGTGCTGTAGTGGTGAAAAATGGGGTATGAGGTCTGGAGAGAAGCCCCAGACTGCCAGTCTGGAGCTCTGCTGGAGTAGAGCTGAAGTGGCACTGTCACTTGTCTCCTACATCTGTGTTACAATGACCCAGTTCCTATCAGGTGAACATTTTTGTTAATTTTGGAAGCGAGGCTGTTCACAGTGTCACAGCCATGCAACAGTGCTCCTGAAGGTTGTGATCTTCCAGGAACAACTTGAGCTTGGAGCTTTCAGCACACTGGCACAGAGTGAGGCTTTGCAGCAGGGCTAAGAACTCCTCAGTTCCTGAACCAGAAGATCCCAGTGAGGAGGCTTACCTGGGAGTGCTGGAACCTGTAAAAGCGGATACCCTACTTGATAATCTTGAGGTGGTGTCAGGAAATCTGATACCTAAAATGTGTGTGTCTGAGAAAACTGATGGTCATAGTGCTGTATCATGTCAGGTGAACTCTGATCAGGTTGTGGTTGTTTTGCAAAGGGCTGCCTTGGCAATTCAGAGTTCCTTAATGTTTAATTAAATGAAAGATTTATGAAGATCCTAAAGTTTCATCCTGGGATTGATCTTCGACACCTGTAGTTCAGGGAGAAGATGCTGGTGAGAAGGTGAGGTGCAGGGTGGGGAGGGCTGGGTTGGTGCTGCTGCAGAGCAGAAGGGAACAGGCTTGGCAGAACTGCCTTTATTTGAAGCTCTCAAAGAGGGAGCATTGTGGCACTGCTTTGCCCAAGCAGAAAAGAATCCCGAGTGCTTGCTCGTGCCTGCTCAGTGTGACATAAAGGTGTAGGAGGTTTCTTGTTTGTTTTTATCTCAGTAGCTGCTGTCAGAGCATGAATCCTAAACATGGTTGCTGAGCCTCTCCTAAAATCGGCCCTCAGAATGTGTGGGTTGTCTTGGGGTAGTGCAGATGGCCCAGCACGGGGATGTTTAGCTTGGTAGGTTAATATGAATTAATGGAGTCTTTACATACATCTTAGTTAAACAGTAATAAAGCTTGAAGCTCTGAAAGTCTGGGACATGTAGCTAAAAAAGTGCTTTCCTGTAAAAATAAATTTTATTACAGAGAAAACAGGATTTGAAAGCTGAGAAATGCAAGTTCAAAAAGCAGAAAATTATTCCAACAGAGGTGTCTTCCTGGTCATCTTCCTGTGAGAACATTGGTGCTGCTGTTCCAGGGTCAGTTGTTCCCCAAGTGAACAAGAAATGGACGAGCAAATGGTGATTTCATAAATTGGAAAAATCAAACCTAATTTTTCATTTGTTCCATGTTGGTTTTTTTTCACTAACACTGAGATATCTCATTTGTTATGGCAAATTCCGGGTTTTTTTTTCTGGATCTGGTGGATTATATGGATTGGGAAGGCAGAGACAAATCTAATATTACTTTCTACAAACGGGACTCTGAAGGGTTGCCATTTCTGGATAGGGGGATTTTATTTTACTGAAGTTGCAGGGAGTCACTAAATAAATTGTCACTGAAAGCCAGTCATCCCAGTTTGTTTTGGACCAGCGGATCCCATGAGGGCTGGTGTAATTTGTAAATTGTAATTATGATTTGTAAAAAAAACTGCCCATGAGCCAGCAGTGTGGGCTTGCAGCCCAGAAAGCCAGCGGGGTCCTGGGCTGCATCCAAAGGGACATGGCAGCAGGTCCGAGGAGGGGATTCTCCCCCTCTGCTCTTGTGAGACCACCTGGAACACTGGGTACAGTTCCGGGGTGCCCAGCACGAGAAGGACATGGAACTGATGGAGCGAGTGCAGAGGCCGGGAAGTTGATCAGAGGACTGGGGCACCTCCCATGTGGGGCAGCCTGGGAGAGCTGGGGCTGCTCAGCCTGGGGGAGAAGGTTGTGTGGAGACCTCACAGCCCCTTCCCCTGTCTGAAGGGGCTACAGGGAACCAGAGAGGGACTGTCCATCAAGAACTGCAGTGACAGACAAGGCGGAATGGCTTCAAACTGAAAGGGGAAATAAAGGTTCGACGTTAGGAAGGAACTCTTCCCTGCACAGGTTGCCCAGAGAAGCTGTGGCTGCCCCATCCCTGGAAGTGTCCCAGGCTCGGCTGGACGGGGCTTGGAGCAACCCGGTCTGTGGGAGGTGTCCGTGCCCTGGGTGATGTTTAGGGTCGGTTCCAATCCCTCCCCATTCCCTGTCCCCTCAGCCCGGTCTGTGGGAGGTGTCCGTGCCCTGGGTGATGTTTAGGGTCGGTTCCAATCCCTCCCCATTCCCTGTCCCCTCAGCCCGTCCCCGCCGGACGCTGCCCGTGCCGGGCCCTGCGCATGCGCGGCGAGAGACCTGCGCTGCTGCCCCCAGGCACGGCGGGAGGGCCGCGCAGGCGCAGTGGGGCGGGGCGGGGCCGCGGGGGAGCACATCCGGGGCACGGCGGCGCTTCCACCGCACGGAGGGACCGGGGACTGAGGGACCATGGTGAGTGAGGGACTGAGGGACATGGGAGTGAGGGATTGAGGGACATGGGAGTGAGGGACTGAGGGACATGGGAGTGAGGGACTGAGGGACATGGGAGTGAGGGACTGAGGGACATGGGAGTGAGGGACTGAGGGACATGGGAGTGAGGGACTGAGGGACCATGGTGAGTGAGGGATTGAGGGGATATAGGGAGTGAGGGACTGAGGGACCATGGTGAGTGAGGGACTGAGGGGATATGGGGAGTGAGGGATTGAGGGGATATAGGGAGTGAGGGATTGAGGGGATATAGGGAGTGAGGGACTGAGGGACCATGGTGAGTGAGGGACTGAGGGGATATGGGGAGTGAGGGACTGAGGGACCATGGGGAGTGAGGGGACATGGTAAATGAGGGATTGAGGGGACATGGGGAGTGAGGGACTTAGGGGATATGGTGAGTGAAGGACTGAGGGGCCGTGGGGAGTGAGGGGTGAGGACCCTGGGGAGTGAGGGACTGAGGGACATGGGGAGTGCGGGGTTGGGCTGAGGGGCCCTCCCTGCCCCCCCGGTGCCTTCACCCGGTGAGGGGGTCACGGCGGGGCCCAGCCCTGGGCAGGGGCGCTGGGAAGGGGGAGCATGGCGGGCCCGGGGTCCCTCTCGCCCTGCCAGCGCCCAGAGCGGGCCGGGCCGGGACTGACGCCCTCTGTTTGTGTGTTCCAGGCGCGGAACGCGGAGAAGGCCATGTGAGTGTGGCGGCATGACTTGACTCGTGTGTGACCTCCTGTGAGCCTGCGGCTGTACCTGCTTTCACACCTCTGTGCCCACTGGCCGTGGCTGTTCCTGGTTTCAGACAGAGCCACGCTGGCCCCATGGGACTTGCTGTTCAGCCTGTTTTAAAGCACCACGAGTTTATTGATGCTTTTGGGTACTTAGTTGCACACGTGCTGCTCCAGTGGCAGTGGGGAGAGGAGGGCACGTGCCAGGTGCTGTGGAGCCCTCCCAGCTGTGCTGGGTGTTTCTGTGCAGGACAGACACTGCAGCAAGGGCTGGAGGATAAGTACACTGGAATATGTTCCAAGGGCCCCTTATGCTTTTGGGCAGTTCCAGTTTTTGAAACAGAGATGCCAGGCCAGATAGGAATCTGGCAGCATTCCTTTAAGGATAATTCCTGCTTGAGAGTGGCTTGGGCTAAACCAGTGGTTTTTAACAAATTTATTTTTGTATTGGCTTTCCTGAGGAGTTTTTGAAAAGGGTTGGAGGCCACACATCTAAAACATCTGGATTGGAGGCTCTTTGGTATATTTGTCTCCTGATTGTTCTTTTTCCTAAAATACTCCCTGAGCTTGTAACTAACTCAGTGAGGGGCTGCAGAGCCCACAGCTGTCTGATACCTCAGGAGGTGATGTTAGTGATCCCATCCAGTACCTCTGGATTGGACTGGAATGAAAAGTCCCCAGGTTTTTAATTCTGGAAATGGCTCTTAACAGCAGATAAAGTGGTTGGCTTAGGTGCAGGGTGTAGGTGTGCTGGTACTGGATGTGCTCAGCTGTTCTGTGCCTTTTAACGTAACTAGTAAATGTCTAATAAATGAAACTGTTGGAAAATGGAGCTGTGTAGTCTCTGCTCAGCTCTCAGAGATTGGGAATATTTTAGTTATGCTAATGGACTTGATTACTAACTGCTGCTTTCCTTAATGAGCTTTTTCCCATTGAGATTTTTATTTGCTTTTTGATGTATCCTCTGCTAAGATCGACTAAACTTAATGCTTCTGTTTCTAACTTGTTTATGTCCTTTCGCTGCAAATGTCCAATATCATGGCGTATGTTGAACAGAAAGAATAATTAGGTGCTTACCAGGATTTATGTTTATCTGAGACATGAACCACTGATGGTTTCTACTGTTGAGAAGTCACAAGTTGGAAGAGCCAGAGGTGGTCAGTGAATCTGTTCAAACCTTTGTTTTCTATGGTCTGTAATTAAGTCCATCATAAACATTCAGAGCAAGACTTGTTCCTGTTGGAATGTGGATTTGTAAAAGTAAGTTTGCTTCCTTTCTTCCCTTTAGGACGGCCTTGGCAAGGTTTCGGCAAGCCCAGCTCGAGGAAGGAAAAGTGAAGGTAGGATGGAAAAGCTCTGAAGGTTTGTTAGCTCTGCTCAGAGAGGAATGCAGGCCTTGGACAGAGCTGTGTTGGGTTATGAGCCAGGCCCAGGTGTCCTGCAGGAGCCTGGCATCAGTCAGATGGAAAATGTTCCAGCTGACTGTATTTCACAGTCACACAAACCAGAAATGGTAACCAGAACTTTCCCAAATAAATAACTTACATAAATGTCACATGTGTATCTGTTTCAGAGGTATGTTGGCTTAGCTGCCAAGAAGAAAGTGCAAACTGAACATCACTTAATTTTTTTATGGAATATAGGTAGAATATGTCATGGTTTGGGGGAAAAAAAACCCAAACAAACTATAGTAATGCTATAAATAGAGGCAGCATTCTGGGCAAAAAATGAACATTATTTTTGAGTCTGAAGTTACCTACATCTGCAACTACTTAGGCAAATTCATGCACAAACACTGACAGTAATCACAAGGTTGGTTTGGATTTCTTCCCAGAAGTAGAGAAATCCTTCTCATAATCTCATCTATTGGGGATGTTCTGACAAAAGGGCAACCATGAAGCAGAGGCCTTCAAGGTCACTGAGCTCCAGACTCCCATGAGACACAATGTTGGCATGTTGTTAACCCAGCACGTGACAACTGTGCTGCTGTCATGTGGATTTTTTTTATTACTGTCAGATTGATCAAAAAATGGACTTTGTAATTTAAAAAATACCCACCACTATAACAAAAGAACCTGATTCCCAACTATCTCTGGATTTTCCTGAGCACTTTTCACCAAATCAAAACTCAAAGTGCAAGAATATTTATGTAAGGATCAGAGTGTTCTCAGTTAACTTTTTGGAGAGGTTTATAAGTGAGCAATATGAAACAGGAAAGTGAAAAATGACAGTTTGGAGAAACTGTTGTGGTAAAGATGAAGATGGAATAGAGTTTCTGATATGTTATGTGGAGAAAGGCTGTTTACATAGATAAAAGGTAGAGGTGTGGAAGTGCTGTGAGGAAAGGGACAAAATAACTGCACACACAGGGTCCTAGAGGTAAGATGAACTGTTGGAATACAAACCAAAATCATCTTGGAAAAAATTAGATTATTTAGATAGTAGCAATTGAGAAGGACAGACTTAAACTTAACCTGTTCTTGGAAGACAGTGGATTTTATTTAGCAGTTAGTGTGCTGAAAATGGTGAAACTGTTTAAAATGGAATGTTCTTTGTGTTGGAGAGGATTGTGGGGTGTTTTGCAAAAACAGGTGATGGATTTTGTTTTGGATAGACTGCATTTAAGTAGCTTTTTATATTCTTGATAGTTTAATTTGGCAGGGCTGTAAACCATTATTGTTTTCCATTTACTGAAAATCAGTGGGAGCAGAAGGCCCAGGAGCTTGGTAGCGTAATTTGGGATAAGTTTGTGAAGTGCTGTGGATATGTGGGTTCTTGGTTAACCTTGGTGGTGTGTCTGTGTTAAACAGGAACGGAGACCTTTCCTTGCATCCGAGTGTAATGAACTGCCCAAAGCTGAGAAATGGAGGCGACAGGTAATGGCAGCCTGGGGACTTTTCTAATTCTCTGGGAGGTGGAACTTGAGCACTTCCTATTTCAGCGGCCTGCTTGCAATTGTTTTCATTTTTCCTCAGTCCAGTGACAGTTAATCACAGAATGATTTAGATGGGAAGGTCATACAGTTCACTACATTGTTCAAAGCAGGTCAAATTGCCCCAGGACCATGTCCAACTGAGTTCCAATGTGATTTAAATATCTTCAAGGATTTTATATTCCACAGCTTTTTGGGACCACTGTTCCAGTGTTTGATTACCTTCTTAATTATTTCCCTACCACCACCCCTCTGTGAATTTAATCAGAATTTCCAGAGTTTCAACTTGTATTTTGTTGCTACTTGTCTTATTGTCATGCACCTCTCAAACAACCTGGCTCTGTCTTTTCCACTGAAGATAGGTTTTCTTCAGAGATTAATTTCTGTGTTCTTATTTGACTAGATCATTGGGGAGATTTCCAAGAAAGTGGCACAGATTCAGAATGGTAAGATTTTTCTAATAATGTTTTATCTTTTTGATTCTCCAGTCCTAAGCCATTTCAGTAAAAATCACATCTCACGTGAACTGTGTTGTTTCCATTGCATAAATCTGAAATTACTTTGGTACTTCTAGTGAGCTGCCTAATGTACTGTCTTTTTTCTCTCTAACAGCTGGATTGGGTGAATTCAGAATTCGGGACCTGAATGATGAAATAAACAAACTTCTGAGGGAGAAAGGACACTGGGAATACAGAATAAAGGAGCTGGGAGGCCCTGATTATGCTGTGAGTGTAGAATATGTTGTACTGCCTGGTTGTTCTGCTTACAACTGAAGTGACAACTGCTGAAAATCTGTGCAACATTTAGTTAACCATGTGTGCCTTGGCCAGTGTTTGTTAGAGAGGATCTTTATTCAGCCCCTAAAAATGCTTGGTTGTTGTTAGAAGAAGATTTTAAACTCTGTTTGTTTTCCAGCGGATCGGACCGAAAATGTTAGATCATGAAGGGAAAGAAGTTCCAGGGAACAGGGGCTACAAATATTTTGGAGCTGCAAAGGATTTGCCAGGAGTTAGAGAGCTTTTTGAAAAGGAGCGTAAGTAAAGAGCAATTCTTCCCAGACATGACTGTAAGTTGTAGTGTGTCTTGAGTCAAACGTTGTTGTAGCTTGTGGGGAATGCTGGTAGCAGCATTTCTGGGCCATTTCTTAGCACAAGTAATTAAATGGTGTTTCTTTGGGCAAAGAACACCTTTGGCTGTTTGCAATTAAAGGAATCTAGAAAAGAGTAAACTGGTTTCTTCTGGGAGTTCCAAATGATAAGAACTGAGGTCCTATAGAATCTCTGCAGCATAACAGGCTAACTTCATCAGGAAGTTCTAAATAGCACTTGGAGCTCAGAGGTTAAAGAAAAAGAAGAAAAAGGGGAAACTGGGTTGAACACAAGTTTAGGAGCAGGAATCAGCTTTCATAACAGGAAAAACTAGATGTGAGGGATAAATCTATTGATTTGTCAGAGAATGAGTGGGAATTGCTTGGGCCTGAAAGTGAGGCAGCTACTGAATCAGCTCCTTCCTTGCCGTCTGCAAAGAGGAATTCTGGGAAGTACTCCATGACCTGGGGGAAGCACTGGGTCGTGTATTGGAACTGGTTTGTGTGGGACAGAGTCCAATGCCAGTGTGCCCAAGCTGGCAGCAGTTGGGTTGTGCCGTGGGTGCTGTGAGGTGTGATGGGAACTGGGAATGCACAGTGATGGGATGGAGCTGGGGGAGTGACAGGGTGTTCCTGCAGCTCTCCCACCCCCACGGAAAACTCGGGCTGAGCTCATGAAGGACATCGATGCTGAGTACTACGGCTACAGGGACGAGGACGATGGCATTCTGGAGCCTCTGGAACAGGAGCATGAAAAGAAAGGTATGTGGGGTTCTTCAGCCCAAGAAGGGGGATAGTGGACCCTGAAGTGAAGGTACCTTTCTTTTTCCCTGTGGGTGTTGTCTTATCCATGGCTGTCTGTCACATAGGTATCCAGATCACTGTGTAAGGCATTTCAGGTTGGGGGTGTGTGCTTTAGAATTGACTTTCGTCTTTACTACTGTTAATGATTTAATATTGTCAGCAACTCATTCACTATTGAAGGACAATTTCCTTTTTTCCCTACCTTTTTCAGGCTTAAGACTGTACAAAAGAGTAGGTTGCAGCAATGAGATCTGGGGGACTCCAGCAGTTATCTCCCTCCCTTGTAAAAACTGCCCGTGCCATCTGTTTCCTGTCCACCTCATTATTTATTTATCCATAAACATAGCTGTTTATTTTTTTGGGAGATTAGAGAGGCCTTCTGGAAACCTTGAAGTCTAGGTGGCTTGTGTTAATTTATCCACGTCATCTATCTCCAAACTTCAACACATTTGTGAATATTTTCTCCTTTTAAATCTGTTTTTCTCAGTAAATACTGTTTATCCATGTGCGTGCTCACATAGTTTTCTAGTGTTGTTTCTTCTGACCTCCCTGCTAAAGACGTCAGGATTATGAGTCTTAATTCCTCAAGCTCTTCAGCACTGTTAGCCATTTTCTGTTATTTGTGTAGCTCAAGCAAGAGGCCACACAGCATCTTTAAGAGCTTAGCTGTTTCCTAAATGGTTCTCTTAGTGCTGCTGGTGAGCACTGCCTGATCCTTACAGTTATCCCTTCTCCATGTGTGAGACATTCCCAGTGTTGTGTGTTCAAGTGGTGCCTTGTCAGGTTACAGGGCAGGGAGGAGGAGGGGGCTAAAGGAAATGTTTAACACACTGTGTTGTGGAGCCCTGGCCCGAGGGAGGGGGAGCTGCTGCAGGCAGTGATAGTGTGGGAGGGGAAGTGGTGTGGGACAGGGCTCCCAGCAGCCCCCCCAGGGATCAGCCTGCACATCCTCTGGCTGCGGCTGGAGAGGGACCTGGGCTGTGTTCACGGGGTAACAAGGGAACTGTCACCTTGGGTGATTGTGCTGCTTGAACTAACAAGGCTGGAGGTGCTGACAGAGCCAGTCGTGTGCTAATGGACAATTAGTGCACAAGAGCTGGGGTCCCTCAGGGTCAGTGGGTGTCTGGGCTCTTGTGGTTTTCACCTTGGTAAGTGAAGTCAAGTTTTTGCAAAACAAAGTATTGAAAAAACTTCTTAATTTGAGGTGCCTTTTCTGTTAGGGAACCACAAACAAACACAGCCATGGGTTAAATCTGGCTCTCTGAGTGAGAGCACTTTATGATCTGTGAGAGCTTGGGGGAATGCCTGCTGACTTCTAGGCATTCCTACTGCCTCATTGGATTAATCTTGCACCTCTCTAGGAGTTTAAGCACTGCCCGTGTCACTGATTAAGGTTTTTAAAACTTTTTTTGGCTCTTACTAGCACTCTGCTGGAGTAGAGGTACCTGACAGCTTCCACCTAGCAGTGAGGTACAGAATTGGGATAGTGCTGCAATGTAAGAGAAATACACTCTGAGAAAAAAGTGTGGGTGTCACTGTAAGGAACATAATCATGTTTAATTAACAACATGGTGATCAGCATCTCTAGAGCTGCTGACACACTTCAGAGCTGTCAGAGCCACTGAGCCTGACCATGTGACCCTGTTACTCAGTTCAGAAAGTAGGCTGGTATTTATCCATGACATTTAGAGTCCAAAATGTACCCAAACTGAGGCATTAGCAAGTGCCACACTTTGACAGTGCCATCGTGGGTTTTGCTCAGACTACACTGCTGTGTTTTATTAGATGGTACATTGAGGTTCTACAGTAAATGTGTGTTATTGATGTAGAGGATTTAGGCAAGAGGTTTAAGTCCACTGGAAAAGCTTTGGAAATCAGACCATGCTGCTTTGACTGGCTCTCAGGTACACTTACCATTTTCCTTTGCTAACCAGTTATAGCAGAAGCAGTGGAAAAATGGAAAATGGAGAGGGAAGCACGGCTTGCAAGAGGTGAGGAGGAGGAGGAAGAAAACATCTATGCTGTCAACGATGATGAGGTAGGTGATGGCTAAGATGAAGTGACATTTCATGTATCTTCTCTGCTGCCTTCTTGGATGTGGTGTTACTGTGCTGAGAACCTGTGTGCTGTGCCCTGTCCTTCTCTGTGCCTGACCAACTGCACCATTGGCCCTGCTTGGTAAGAATCAGTAGCAGTGACTACACTTGGCCCAAGTTTAGAGAGCACTGAAGGCTGGCACCTAGGAAAGACCTTTCACTCGAGTGAGAACCAACTGCTGAGCCCTTGCTGTGATTTAACTGGCACTGCCTGGAATTGTGTGTTTGTCGAGGTGGTGTGTTGGTAGCACTGGTCAGCTGTGCTTGTAGGTACAACCTGCATTGGTATCCTGTCCCCAAAGCTACTTGTGCTCTTAATGTCCTACTGCCACTGCTTAGCAAAACCAAGGGTTTCAGGGCTTTGTTCACACTTGAACCCTGACACAGCAAGACTTTGCTCATGCTGCTGTCACTGCTGGGACACGGCTCTTGTTTCTTTGTTCTCCCTGCAAGACCTGTCAAAGGGAATCTGGAAACAAGTTCTCATTCGTAGTCTGTACCTAAGTGGTTTGATACAAGAATAAAAAGGAGATGGTCCATAATGTGAATCTGGTGGCTCCTCCAGTCCCCTGTTTTATTTGTATTGTCTCCTGATTCATGAGACCAGCTCTCAGGTGTGAGACAAAGCAGTTCAGAGCTGCACAGGGAAATGGTACCTATATTTTTAAAGCACTTGCTTTCTTCTTGCTTAGCTGGCTCCTCTGCTGTTTATGCCTTTGCTGTGGCAACCAGAGATATGGAGGAGGAGTAAATTGAGCTTTACATCTAGCAGAGCAAAGGCCATATGAACAATGGAAGCAGTAGTTCTGAAAATGTCAGGGAGCAGGATCTGGATGTGATCCTTGTCATATTCCTTTGTTGTTCAGTCCTCTTCACCTAATTCCTGTGTTTGTAGTGTTGATCATGCTCTATCCTTCTGGCAAAGCAAGTAAAAAGGGGTTTTTTTATGACCTCTATAGAAAATAAACTTGATGTGGCTTAATTTTTTCACTTTTTAGTCTGATGAGGAAGGTGGGAAGGAAAGAGAAGGAGAAGAAGGCCAACAGAAATTCATTGCACATGTTCCAGTGCCAACTCAGCAGGAGGTAAGACATAACAAAATTAGGTTGCAGAGATCCACGCTGGCTTTTGCAAGGCAGATCCCCACTTATGTCACATCATCAGTAAAAGTGCCCTAAATTGGTTATTTCTGTGACTTGACTCTGCAGCTGTTTATTTCTCTTGCAAATACTGTGGTTGTGTTGTGGTACCATTGCTATAACACTTTTCACCTGAGAATTTCCAAAACTTTCATAAATATTCCATAAATTGGAAAGTGTTGTGGTGCTATGATCAATAACCAGGATTGTCTACTATATCTGCACTGTGCCTTTCTGCTGATGGTGTGCTTTTTTTAAATTTAATGGGATGATTTCTGAATTGCAGGGTTTGTTCTCGTAAATTTTCTAAAATTATTTTGGTGGCATGACCTTGAATTGACTGTTATATTTTGAAGCTGCTCTAGGGTGTTTATTACCTTCACAGTGACAGGTTGTTTGAAGCACAACCCAGGCAAAAAGGTTCTGGAGTTACATAGCTGTTTCTCTTTCTTAGTGGCAAATCACTCCATACCTTATGCCTACAGGATTATGCCTTCTAGATTCTGAATTACTGAAAATCAAGGTTCAGAACACTTATTTTGAGAGATGCTGTGTGCAATCTGGACAAACATAAAATCATTACTGAGACTAAAACAAGTCGTGCAGGTTGTTATTAGTAGATCTTTGAAGTATGTGCTTCTTAAAGGATCAGGTATCACTGGCACTTCCAGGCAAAATGCAGGGCAGAGGTTCCTGGCCGTGGCTGATGTGAAGGGCACACTCACTAAATGTTAGTTCAGAGGTGTGGACTCCTGTGGTGTAGACCCATGAGTTCTGCATTTCCTAAAGCTGTATCTGAGGGAATCATTTGGAACAGATCAAAATGAAATGGCAGCTAACACTGATTACCAAGGGTAGGAGCATAGATCAGAAACAGGCATCTGTTTTGCTGCTTCTTTTGACTTCCAGGAGCTTAATCTGAGTATTAAAAAGGGTACTCCTGACTCATCATAGTTCCACTACTTTTACACTAGTACACAGCCCTTTCCCAGGCTGTTTCCTGTGTTTTCCTTCCTCCTGTCCGTAGCTGAGCATCCTGGGTTTCAGCATCTCATTTGAGCTAAATGCCATCCTGTTTTTCTCTTTGCAGATTGAGGAAGCTCTCGTGCGGAGGAAGAAGATGGAGCTCCTCCAGAAGTATGCCAGTGAGACCCTCCTGGCACAGAGCGAGGAGGCAAAGACACTGCTGGGACTGTAACACTGCACCAGCATGGCCTGGTTTGGGAGTAATCCACCCAAAAGCAGCAGGTTCCTATGTTCTGGTAGCAATGACTTTTAGCTCTGAAAGTCCTTTGGATGTCAAGAGTAAACTGATGGAATTACAGTGTGTTCTGCAAAGGAAACCCATCATTTTGGTTTATCCAGCAGAATGACTGGCACTCCAGTGCTGACAAAGATCAGGCCTTGTCTCTGCATCTACAGCTGTCATCAGTCCCTTCAGTTTGTAAAAGGGTCTGTGCAGTGGTGCCTCTTACAGATAGAACCACACACCCACCGACTCTGAAATCCCCAGGGGAAGCTGATGGCGTTCCTGCCACCCTCTCTGCTCTATCCTGACTGTAAGTGTACACATCCTTCTCATGCTGGTTTTTGATGAGCTGAATCCAGAATTAACTTCGTCACACCTGCTTAGTTTACCAGAATAGCCTAGAACCTGTTTAGAGGTACTTGGATGACAGATCTTATGAGTGACTTTGAAGTAGATTTGATTCTTTGTGTAACACATACAAGTCTAAAATCTGCTGCCCTTTTTGTGGTTTGTAACTGCGCCTGGATGGATTGCTTAAATGCTGGATATTTCAGCAGCTGTTGTAAAAAACTTTGTGATACCTTGCTCAAATATTTTTAGTAAAACTTATTTACAACCTGATGTCTTGTTTCATTCTAGCTCAGAGGGTTGTGGTGATTCCCTAATCGTAGCCGAAGAATGGGATCATAAACAGCCATCCCTGTAGGGATTTGAAGCTCTGCATCCCCTACTGCTCTTGGCTCATGTATCCTGTGACAAGAGGCAAGTTATAGCAGAGCCTGTTTAGAGTCTTCTGGGTGACTGCTGTACAGATCTGAATGACATTTTAAATTGGACATCTGCAGCCATGGAGTATTTCTGTCTAAGAAATAGAGTATTTAACAGTCAAGTAACCATGTCTGGGACTGTTTAACCTATTTCCAATGCTCTTAGTATTAATCTATTACTATCTCTTGTGAATAATCCACTCCAGAACAATCAAAGCTCTAAATTATAGAGAAGAGCTTTGTCTTACTTGATGTAAGTGATCAAACAAAAAAGCCTTGAAAATGTGGAAAGTGTAGCCACCAAATTAAAAACTTAGAAAGCTCAATTATTAGTAGAGGCAAACAACTAACATCACAAACATGTTCTTCTCTCTTCTTGTTAGCAGTGCAGCTCTCTCTGCTTTGTAAGAAAGCAGTAACGAGTGTGTTTATGACACAATAATTTGCATGCTCTGGGTTGCAAGCGTCTCCAAAGTGCTGCCTTTTGAGTGTTTTCTGTTCTTGGGTTTCAAGAAGTGATGTGCTATTTACATGTTCTTTGTATTGCTGTAAAAGACAACACTGTTTCCCAGAGCTCCTTCCCCAAAACCCTGGCCATCAAGAATCAAAAAATAGGCTCCTTTCCTGTTGGATGTGCTGATGGTTCTGGATCAGACTGGCGTCCTTTGCCTGTGGAAAATCTCAGTCTGTGAAGGGTAAAGGCTTTGAGAGCTGGAGATGACAAAACCAGGTTTAAGGGAGAAAAAACCCAGCTAGTTTGTACAGCCTGATACAGTCTGGTACAGCTTGATAATACCAGTGGTAGATCCCTTCTGTCACTATATGAATCTCTAAGATGGAAGATGGAAAACAGAGGAGTAAAGGCAAATCAGGGACAGAGTGATGATGAAAGCAGGCATAAAAAAGGAATAAATTGAAAGAATGAGAGCAAATCAACAGGACTGTAATTGCATTCATGTTCAAAGGAGTAGCTTCCAGCCCTGAGCGTTACCCAACATCATGATGTAAAAGGAAAGTTTTTAAGGCCAACCAACACAGAACTGGAATAAATGCACAAAAATGCAGTATGGAACTGTTCAAGGCAAACTCTGATGCCTGGCCCTCTCTACTAAATGCTCTCTCTGTAGCTCAGTGCAAAGGGTTTTTAAGCTGAATGCTCATTTTGGCCGTGCCTGAGCCAACAAATTGCAGAGGAATTCTTTGCCACAGTGGCCTGTAGCAAAAAGGCTGTGTCCTGCCTGCAGTGTGGGCTGTGGAATCACTGGTGCAGTCAGGGTGGGGAGGCTGCTGTGGCCACAGCCAAGAACTGATCCTGTGGGTCCTGCAGGATGGAACAGTGTGCAGGCTCTGTGTTAACTCCGAGCGTGCAGCAGTACTTGGATGCCTTGTGTTGTCAGGCTGACAGCTGGTACCATCTCTGCCGTGCCCCAGCCCTAAGCATTCCCAGGTTGTAAAATAAATACTTTACACATGCTTACACATAGCTTGTCCTCTGATCTGCCTCAGAGCTCTGCACTGTGTGTGAGCCTGGCTTGAGCTCTGAGGGGACAACCTCCCTAACTGTGCTGGCTGAGCATCGATTTTGGCTTGCTTTTGCCTTTTAGAAATGCATTTGGTTGTTTCATTTAGTGCCAGGCACGGAAGTGGAGCAGTTTAAAGGCCACCTTCCTTACTCTGTGTCTGGGTGAGCGCAGTGCGGTCGCTGGAGGATCAGTTTCTGCCTGCAGTCAGAGTGGTGGTGAGGAGTATTTGTTGGCAGCACAAGGAAATAAGTGGATTTACCTAATCTGCATTAGCAGATGAGCAAGATAAACAAGACAGCTTTGTGGAGTATCCATTAACTAATGACATTTTGTGCTGCTTGTCTCAAGTCCAGTTGCTGGGGAATGCCTTTGCAGTGCAGAGCTGAGATACTGTGCTGGTTGTGCTTGATGGACTTTTTCCCAAAAAGCCCCGATTCCTGAAGTATCACAGAATGGGTCAGGTTGGGAGGGACCACAGTGGCTCATCTGGTCCCACCTTCCTGCTCCAGCAGGGCCACCCCAGAGCACGTGGCACAGCATTGCATCCAGCTGGAATATCTCCAGTGAGGAGACTCCACACCCTCTTTAGACGATCTGTTCAGTGCTTGGTCACTGCAAGGGAAGAAACTCTTCCTCAGGTTCAGGTGGAACTTCCTAGGCATCAGTCTCTGCCCATTGCATGTCCCAGTGGTTGGCACCCCCGAGCAGAGCCTGGTCAATCCTCTTGGAACCCCTCCTTTAGATATTTATACATGTTGACAAGGTCCCCTCTCAGTCTCTTCTGCAGGCTGAACAGGCTGAGCTCCCTTGGCCTTTCCTTGAGAGATGCTCCAGTCCCTTAATCGTTGTTGGCCTATGCTGGACAGGTAGAACCAGAGAGAATGTTTCTTCTGGTTTGTTATTAAATTAAAAGACAGTTGTTTCCTTGCTAGAAATGTTGCGCTGCTCGTCGCATCGCTGCTAAGATGGCACCATCCCCAGTGCGGCCGAGGGGCTGCCCCGCGGGGGTGGGAGCGGCGGCCGCCCGGGGCTCGGGGGGTGCGGTGCCGCTGTCCCGGGCCCGTAGGACCCAGGGCTCGCCGTGCCGCCGGCCGGGGCTGTGCCGTGCTGTGTGTGAGCTCAGAGCCGGGGCTGTGCCGTGCTGTGTGTGAGCTCAGGGCCGGGGCTGTGCCGTGCTGTGTGTGACGCGCTGTGAGCTCAGGGCCGGGGCTGTGCCCTGTGTGTGACGCGCTGTGAGCTCAGGGCCGGGCGGGCCGGGCGGGGCGGGGCGGCGGGTCCCGCACTCCGCCCGCCATGCGCCGGGCGATGCCGCCGCTCCGCGCCCTGCGCGAGGCCGCCCGGGGGCTCTGCGGGTTCAGCGCAGGGAGCGGAGGCACAGCGGTGAGAGGGGCGGAGCGGGGACGGGGCGATGAGAGGGGACAGCGGGGGGACCGGGGCGGGCGGGACCCCCCGCTCCAGCCCTCGGGACGAGACCGAGCGAAACCGAAAGGGGCGCGGGGTGTGGGGTGCGGAGAGCGCGTCCGGGCCGCCGCAGTGCCCGGGGCCGTGCCATGCCCGCCAGGACCGTCGCTCGCCAGGGACGCCGTGACGGGTTCCCGGGCAGTGCCGGGCAGAACTCCCGTCCTAAGGACTGCTCCGTGGTGGTACAGTGGGAGCAAGGGAAAGTCGTTCCGACTCCATCCGTCCCCTTCGTTGTGCAGCGGGGCAGAGCTCTCCTGTCCCGAGCAGAGAGTTTCTTTAGGGTCAAAAGGAAAAAAAAGCTGTTGACTTCATTATTTCCCTGCTGGATGTATGCTCAGTTCCTTCCTTAGTGCTTTTTTTCTCCCGGTATGCTTAACAAAATACTTTCTTTTGCTAGTGTTATTCACTGTAAAAGTCTTATTTGTAATCTGTTATTTATACATCTATTATTTTTGCATAGCAAAATGAACGTGAAGAACCGCGTCTATTGCAAAACTATTCCGATACCACTTCAGTTTCAGCAGTTTCAGATGCCGGTCCCCAAAGCCTGAGGAGACTGCTGTACATTCAGCAGCAACTTTTAGCAGCATTTCTGCAGCAGTTGGGTTGTTTCTGAGGTACCGACAATGTGGAGACAAGGGCTGCAGGGGTTTTGTTTTAAAATAGAGGCTGATGATTCTATAGAGGAGGAAAGAGAGGGCTTCAGGGGGAGTTCTTGCATGTAAAGCTGGACAGCAAACCCAGCCTAATGTAAATCAATGATAACCGCTATATTTACAGCGTTGGCTTTATTAAAATGGGCTCAGCCTCGTGGGTTTGCAGCGGTTGGAGTGCTGGGTTTGGAAGGGGCAGCAGTGGGAGCCGTGCCGGCTGCGCAGGCAGCGGCATCTCCGTTCCCAGCGGTGACGGTGGTGGTGTCTGTGCTGTACCAGCTGCAGGAAAAATGCAGCCGGTGAATAATTGATGGGGAACAAAGTGCTGCTTAAATAGGCAAAACGCCCTTCTCCCTGCGTAGGGAACACGGTGGGCTGGGTGGGACAGCTCCAATAGCGAGGGCTGTCCCACTCCGTTGCCTGGAGTCATTTCTGTGCCTGTTCTCATTGTGCTCTGTCTCGGCGCTTAATTGCTCTTTCCCTCTTCATCAAACAATGACAGAGGGAATCATAAATCCCAAGAGTCTTGGATTCCAGTTTAGGCTTGGGAGAGAAATGAAGTGATAATTTTTGTTCTATCGTTTTCCAAAGTGATTCATTAACAGTTTCATTGCTCAACAGTCCTCTCCCTGTCTCTGCTCCCTGGGCTTATCAGCAGCTCATCTTTCTTACCCCTCCTTAGCCTCATTCTTCTTTCCTGAACTCATGAAGTCCAGCTCTTATTTCCTCAAAGGCAGACAAGGGGACACATTTAAGTGACTCAAGCAGCACCTTTGTCTGAGGAGGTGTTAACTTTACCAATAGGCATTAGTCTGCTGTATGTAAAACTAGGAATCAACTGGAGCCATGTGGAAAGAGCTCAGCAGTTATCTGGCTGTAATAGAACCTACTGTGGAACAGAAAAGTGCAGGTGACAGCTGGGACAGTTTTAGTATCTAAACCTTGTAAGGGAGACCTCAAGTTCAGGACCTACCTACTGCTGAAATACTGACTGTTGTGTATTTTGCTAGTGTTTGAGGGGGGGTCAGATCAATCAAAAGTGGGACTCACTGGCACAGCAGCAGGTATTTTGTACCTCTTCTGATCAGTTTGACTTCATTTTTGATCTGAAACATTCTGGAACTATTTGTAAGGCAAGGTAGAGCTCATGAGGCTGTATGCATAAGGCAGAGGGAGCTGTGCTCCTTGTGTCACAGTAGGTATTTTAGCATGTGAAT